GAACAGTAGAGAAAATCCGATCAGAATGACAAAATAAACTAAGTATCCACTGGAAGGAATCCCAATATCTGCAGACGGATCCGTTTCGGCCTTCTAGGCCTCATCAGTGCAGCTAGGGTATAGACCCAACCGAAACGTTCGACCGGCTTAGGTAGGGCCCAAGCTAGTCCCACGACCACTAATGATTACGGAGCCAAACCAAGGCAATATATATATACACAGCCCAGGTGTGAATGCAAATAGTGGAATAGGCCTAAATAGCTTGTATTCCACTATTTGCATGTGCATTTAGTGTACGATGCATGCTCTAGGCCTACTAATTGCTTTATAAGTCAATCGCCGTCTTTTAATTATAGTTTTTTTTTTACCAACTGTTGTAGCAATCATCGGTTGCTATAGTGATGTGATCAGTATACGTGTGCGTATTTACATTTAACTGTGCGTATGCTGTTTTTCGATCCTGCAGTACCGTACTCGCGCGAATAAGCGCCCGGGCGCTTAAAATATTTTTTTGCACTTTCTGAGGAGCGCTTATTCAAACGGGGCGCTTATTTAACCAGGGCGCTTATGAAAACAGAGTGGAAATTGAGGGGGCCCTTATGGAAATAGATGAAAATCGATGGGTTCTAATGGGAACTTATTAAATTCAAGAGGCACTTTTTGAATGGAAAAAGATTATATAAGGACGAATGGTGGTTAGGCGGAAAAGATAATCGTCCAGAGAACATGGCTCATGACAAGAATCAGGTCCGTAGGCAGGATTTTCGATGGGGAGGTGCGTTTTGCAACCGAAGTGGACCTTACGATGGGCGACTGCCAAGGCAGCCCCGCGAGGGTGGGGCGAATCTTCTGGAAGCTCTGACAAATTAGCATTTTAAGGGCCTTTTTTAATGGATTTCTAAAATCCATAATTTGTAATATCCTATTTAAATTTTCATTCATTTGATTATTGTCAAAGCAGAAATAGAGGGTGGGGTGAAGGGAGAAACTTGCACAGACAGAGGATCAATATAACCTCAGCCCCACCATAAGGTAAGAAATTTTATGATTATGGCACCTCAAAGTGGCCGGAAATGGCACTCTCAGACAAACTTTAATTATGATTTTTTTTTTTTTTTTCCCATTCTTTTATAATTTTATGGGGCTCTCCCTTGAATCCACCACTGTGAAATTATAATTGTTCATGTCCTTTACATCTGTTGGCTTACAATCACTGGAGCTGATAATTCCCAACTGATTTCGTAGCACATTATTAAAAATCAA